AAGTTTTTGTGACACAGGATCCCAACAATGATATAATTTTTGTGTAATTCCATAACCCAGAAAACAACATAATTGAGCTCTAGGCTCTAACTTATTATGTTCATAAGGTGGAAGAGGAACAAAACACGCACAACCAAAAACCTTAAAAAGATCATAGACAGCAAGAATACCGTGTAAACGCTTATATGCAAACTAGTTATTAAAGACTAATGATGGAATGCAATTAATGAGATAAACAATTGTAAGAGCAACTTCACCCTAAAATCACTTTGGACAAAGAGACAAAATGGGCAAAGCACGAATATAATCAAGGATGTGTCTGTGTTTGTGTTTGGCTCGCTCATTCCATTCAAAAGTGTAAAGACAAGATTGTTGTGTCAGTGTACCATGTTCTTTGAGAAAAGATTGAAATTTAGTACCAAGATATTCATTAGCATTGTTAGTTCTCAAAACTTCGAAAATTTTAGAGAATTGAGTTTTGACCATGGTAGCAAAATCAATATAAATTTATGATAATTCAAAGTGATTTTTCATAAGATATATCCAAGTAAAACGAGTATGATCATCAATAAACAACACAAAATACCTAGAACCCCCCATGGTGGGTGTAAGAGATGGACCCCAAAATCAAAATGCGCGAGATTAAAAGGAGAAGTAGAAAGAGAATGACTACTCAAAAATGATAAAGCTAATTGCTTTGCAGATTGACATGACACACAATGCAAGGATTCATTTGGAACAAATCCTAATAAACCACGAGAGATAAGTGGATGAAGTTTACCAATTGAGGTATGTCCAAGATGTAAGTGCCACAACTAGAGAGGAGAAATGTTAGTAGTAGCACAAGCTTGCAAAATTTGTTGGTATGGGATTTATAAAGACTTTAATTCAACAACACAAAGTAAGGTTTGGATGAAGCGATCATTTAGAAATGATGGTGCATCCATTTTATGATGTTGTGTATGCAAATTATTGAGCTCAAACGTATGCCCCACCTTGTGACCAAGTCCAAGAAGTTGTCCTATCTGTGGGTCTTGCGCATGACAACCATGAGTGGAAATGTTACTTCAAGCCCAAGATCACATAATTGACCAATAGATAACAGATTATAACTAAGTTGGGGAACTAAAAGAGCATTTGGTAAAGTCAATGACTTTGTAGAAATATTGCTAATATGGCAAACATTCATAGGGGAACCATCAATAAAAGAAATATCAAAAAAGGAATTATTTGGTGACATGGAAGAGATATGAGCAATAGTTAAAGTTATATGGTTACAACAACCTGAATCAAAATACCAAGGTTTGGTACCTGGAGCTTCGAAAAAAGCAATAGGAACATTAAAAAGATTTAATATCACTTATTTTAGATATTCAAGCTTGACATTAGGTTGGTCTATCGTTTCTTTGGCAACCATAACAGTAACATGATGAGTTACAATTTTTTTAAAACTCACCATAGAATCAGTAAAACTCACAATACTAAAAAAAAAAATCTCAAAAATATGAAGAAATAGATGCCAAGATCTACATAACAATTCAACAAAATACCTCAAAAAGAGCCTAAGAATTGAGAATAAATAATTCAATTTGTATGAGAAGAGATCCCAATGACAAAGTTTTAGATCTAAAATGGATTTGAAAATCCAACTCAAAAAAACCAAACAACAATGATAAAAGAAAAGAACCAAGAGCTTATAAATCTGATATCATGTTAGAAACAAAAAAGAAAAAGAAGAAGAATTTGAAGAAAGGTTTATTGTTTTCTAATTTTTATTGTATATACAAAGGTCCTATATATATAGATTTATATAATAGAATATTCTTAAGTATAAAACTATACAATAGAATATCCCTAAGTATAAAATTAATTAGTTTAAATGTATATAATCAATTACAATATGAATATAATATTTTAAAATAAATACTAATATTCTAATATTAACATTTGACATGCATGATGAAAAGCAGAGTAGATATGGAAAAACTCAATTGAGAACTCTTAATCTAGGAAAGCATATTGTGAAAACAAAGAGAGACCAAAAAACCTTAGGAATCATACTAGTATCAAACAAAACTAGAGAAATACCTTCTAATGGTGATACTTAACTGAACCAATCAATGTCAAAATAGAAGCAATACCGCATCCAACATAAAAGTCAATACAATCAAAGCAGTCAAATAGACCCAATTACACACGAATCTAGGTCAACATAAAAAATTGGAGCTCAAAACAGATTAGAGTGCAAATCGGCGCGAACAAGCCTGAGAAGAGTCAAATGACGGATGAGGTTTTCGTCGGATGGTCACCTGAGGCGGTGGCAGAGCTATGAAGAGACCAGGAAGGGCCATAGTTAGGAATCTTTTGCTCATTGTCACTGTGATGCGCCATGTAGGAGAGATGACGCTAATGTGTCACTAAGTGGGATGGACATAATGTCTGTCGAATGCCCACTTGAGAAATACACCTTAAATCTATCAAAGAATGGTGAATTTTTCCAAATCATGTTAAGGGGCTAATAATGTTAAACTTTTACTTGGGTGGTTAACAATCTTAAAATCTATTAAGGGGATAAATAGAAGAGTCAGCCGATGTAAAATGCAAAAGTGAACTGAAGGCTGAGAGGTGAGAACAACGCCAAACGGGAGAGAGTTCTTGGGTTATTGCTTCGTCTAGATTTGAGTTGGGCCCAGTTTGTTATATATGTATAATGAATTATTGAAATGAACAACGCCAAAGGAGAGGAAGAAACCCAAGGTGGTGCATTTTGTAGAAAAAACAAAAGCCCATTTAGAGACCCATCAATATTCAAGCCCAAGCCCAAGCCCAAGCCTAAGACACTGCCTTCTTCAGTCCGAAGTGTCTAAAATTACATAAAACTGCATGAGATGTATCAAGAGCCATTATTTCTTTCTGGTTTATAAGAAGGAAATTCACAATGCCCTAACGAACAAGAAAGGTAAAATCTCAATTTTGGTCCTCTTTGGTACGGACCTCTAATTTGGTCCACAAACTAAATAAATTCATGTTTTGGTTTCTAAAGTTCTAAAATTCAGCTCTTTTTGGGTCTTTTCCTTAAATTTTAGTGCATATATATGCATGTTAATTGACATTAAAATCTGTTTTTTCCTTCAAATTAATGATATGAAAATTTCACATGGCAAAATTCAATGATGTGCACAAAATTCACTGTCCACAGCGACCTTAAAAGCTTTTTTAATCACAAAATTACCATTAAGTTAAATTTCCATTTTGGTTTTTGAACTTTTGTACAAGCCCTTGATTTTGGTCTCTGAACTAAATAAATCCATGTGTGATGACCAAAAGGAGCCAAAATTTAAAACTTTAAGGATCAAAATAAGAATTTATTTAGCTTACGTTGCAACTCAAGGTATCTAACAAATTTGATGACCAAAATGCTAAAAACATATATATATATTTTAAAAAAAGAACCTACTCTCCAAAACGGTCTCACAAAATAATGTGGTAGCAGATTTAATTGATCGGTTGTTTTTCAAGGGAGTTATATTTGGTAATACTTGAAGAATCCATTGGATATATTAGAAAATTAGACATTGATTCAAATATCTTTCAATTTAGCACATTTCATAATATATTTATTAAAAATAATTATTTTTTATCTAAAATTAAAAATAAAAAAAAACTTAAAAATACAATCATATATACAACATGAATGAATCAACTAAATGAACTATACTTATATTATATTTTAATTATTAAATCAGCTCAATAACGATGTATATCAAATTAAAAAGTGTTCGAATCATTTTTCTGTAAAATAAGAAGCAATGAAGCACTGGAGAAGTGTGCGCCCAAGGATGGTGTTGATGGGTGGTTGGAATTGTCTTTATTGAATTTAATGATAGATTCATTTCTAACACAATTTGCATTAATTTTTAGAAAAGGGTTTTCCCCCCTCCTTTTTTTAGTACAGACTGCATTTAAAACATTAGTTTTGAGATGAGAAAAAATAGAAATTGCATTAATGAAATCTATGCATCCTTAATTTATTAAGGATATTTTTGTCATTTTAAACTTTAAACTGATTTTTTTAAAAAAAATAAATTTTACAAGAATTCGGATTCGAACCACTTACCTAAAAAAAAAAAAAAAGCATTTATAAGTTACTTGAAGCCAGTAAGCCGAATCCCAAGTGCAACTTTAAAATGATATTTTTAACTTCAAAGCAGACTAAAAAAACATTTCTTGTAATCTTTATCACTTCACCAACCGCAACAAGTTATTCTGTACATTTTGATTTCAGGTATTTAATTGGGCTTCTCTAAATATTGTATAGGTTTTTTTAATTTGTCTTTTAATGACACAAATTAAGAGTCTTGAAAAAGTAAAAAATAATATTTAATTTATTAATTATTTAATTAAATTCATTCACATGATATTAACCTTAAAATTAATATTTATTTTTATATTTTTTCATATAAATTTATTACAAAAAATACCCTTAACCTATATTTTAAAGACAAAAATTAGAAAAATCCATATTGTATACAACAATCTTTGTTGTACCATCTTACTTTATGACATTAATTGAATATTTAGCTCTATTCTTCAAAGGAGAAATCCTAATTTTATTATTATTATTATTATTAGTTAATTAAAATTAAACCCTCGAAAAAAAATTTTCAATTAAAACGGCAAAACAATCAAAATGTCACATTTCATGAAACTGTTGAAGACTCATGCAGGATTTCTATTCGTAGACCCCACTTGATCTTTTCACTTTTTCGAGTCATACAATAACTGAAATTCCATCAAATGGCCCCTAAAAAGGGAGAAAACAAAACCCCATATCTAAAACATGTAATTAGATTGATTTTTATTTTTTTGGCCTTATGTAATTAGATTGATTGGAGAAAGAAAACAAAACCCAAATACAATTTTTGTGAAGTGATATTAATTGGGGAGAGAAGGAAATGGATGTAAAAGGAGGATCACGAGTCAGGAGTCAATGAATATGCAGGGAGCATTGAAATTTCTTCAAAGATAGGGATTTTATAAAAGAGAAAAACATAGAGAAACTTTGGCTTTGCCTTCACCCTTACACAAACAGCTGACACAATATCACAGGGGAATAACAAAGCCTGCTATCTTCCTCCTGCATAAGTCCAGAACCTCAAAAAAAAGTTTGAGATTTTTATTTAATACTAACTCTGAAGACTTAACTCCTCATAGTCTCTCTCCTATTTCTTTAACTTTTTTTTACTGTTGCTCTCCCTCTCTTGCCATTTATGGAACTAACTGTACAAAGTAGGGAAGACTGTGAAGATGAGGCCCACATTGCCCCCCCCCCTGGTGATTCAGTGGCCAAATTAAAACAGCAAAGTAAAACTCTTTTTTTTTTTTTTTTTGCCTTTGTTTTCAGCTCCCTTTCTCTTTCTCATCTCAAGTTTCTGTTTTACCCTGAAAAACCACTGTCTCAAGAAGCTCCTACTCCAAGGAAATCAATGAAGGGCATGTTGTTCTTTTCATTGCCATTTTCACTTTCCCCAGAAATGAAGAGATTGGTCCTGCTGTTACCCACTGACTCAGCTGCTGACACTTCTGAGTTTGAATCTGAGTGCCTAGATTGGTCCACACCACGTCCAACAACTCCAATAGGTGCTTGCCTGTAAAAACCATTTCTAGTGGCATAACTCTCAATATCTCCATTTCCCATGCTCTTAACATTTTTCCCAAATGATCCTGAAACACCAAAAATCCATAAACACAAAACAAAAACTAAGTGAATTATCATTAACATGCGGATAGGATGACAAAATTGAGTAAAACAAACATAAAAAAGGAAAATAGGGAAATATGAAAGATACCCATTTCCTGAACTGGACTAAAACTAGTGAAAAATGCAGGGGGAACTTTAGATGAAGCGGGGGAGAGGGAGAGATCAGTGGTGCATGTGGACGCAGCAGATTCATCTTTGGTGCTTGAGATGGTTGATTCAGTAGTGCTGCAGGAATTGTTTTGGTCGTTCATGAGTCCTTGATGAGGGGTAGAAGAAGAAGATGGCTTTCTCCTTCTGTAAATGCTGGATTGCTGTCTATGTTTCCTAGCCATGATCACATGCCAGTGGTTCTTCACTGCATTATCAGTTCTGCCAGGGAACAGCCTAGCAATCATTGCCCATTTGTTCCCATACAGCCTATGTGCAGTCAAAAGCCTCTCCTCTTCCTCCTCAGTGAAAGCCCTCCTGTTGATTCTTGGGTCAAGCTGGTTAAACCATCTCAATCTACAACTCTTGCCTGCAAAATCAAGACAAAAACCATTTCCTAAGTTAAACAATTTAACCAGTTTTTCATTGCATTAAACAAAATAAAAGCATTGCTAGGAATAGTGGGATTTCAGGGGTCATATATACCTGATCTTCCTTCAAGATGCTCAGCTATCAAGTTCCAGTTTTGGGGACCATATTGGGCCACAAGCTCCTTCAGCTTGGCATCCTCAGCTGGTCTCCAGTGACCCCTAGCACAAAGCTTAGTGTGACTATTTTTGCTACAACCAGGGCCCTTTCCTTCATCTTCCTCACCCAAATTCAGAGAAAGTCCGTTCTTTTCAACGGTACCCAAAAACCCATTTCTCCCATCACCTTCAGCTCTCTTTACTCCCCTGTTTTCTACTGACTCAAAAGCTAGAGGTCTCTTGTTTTGTTCCATTGAAGAGCTAGAAATTTGAAACCCCATATGGGAATTCCTGACCTCTACCTCCATCGGATGAGTCATAACCCCTATAGAGTTAGAAAGAGCAAGAGAAGGAACTAGAAAGTTCACCCCCTGAACCCCACTGTAACCGTCAAAATCACCCTGCAGGAGTTGCAGACTCATTGTCACCAAAATCCAAGATAAACCCACAAAGAAGACTAAGAAAGAAAAATCAAAGGAAAATAAAAAAGATCCAAAGTTCACAATTTTAAGAACCGAAATCCCCAAAGTTCTATCACAATGCCATACAGAGAAAAAGACTACAACTTTAGAACCTGATCAGGGGAAGGAGAACATGGGATTGCATTTTCCTGGGGTTCTCTCTTACCCATTGAGGAACCGTTAGGCATGAAAGAAAATGAGAAAAAGAGAAGCAGAGGAAAACCTGTGTGTCTGAGTGGAGCACAGAAAGAATCGGAGGAAACAAGAAGGCTTAAAAGGAGGAGGAGGAGGAACAGAAAATAGAATAGATTTCACTGTTACTAAAAAGAAGAAGAAGAGAAGGACACACACAATTCTCTCACTCTCCTTTCCCCTCTCTCTCTACTAAAAGGAAATGAGGGCAGGGCACTGAGATAGAAAAATGTGCACAGCCAAGTTCTGAGCCTTGCATACAACTCGAGAACCGCTCGTGTGGGTGGTGGTGGGTGAGTGTGTCCCTCTTAGACATATGCTTTGGTGTTGGTATTGATGTCGTCTTTGCCCTCACTTTCCTTATTTCTCTTTCCCTCGGGCTTTGAGGAAAACCAGAATCTGTTTGTCTGTTTGTGAAAGATTTTTGCTTTTTCAAAGGAAAACGGAAATCAAAAGGATCAGTCTTGAACAGCTCTCTTACCACCTGTCCGCTATGCATACTCTTTGTGCATGGTAAACTTATACAATCTTGAACTTAAACAAGATCTCGAGTTTGAGTACTTGTATATGCAGCAGCCTTTGTTGAGAGACTCACCCACCATTTCCAGGTGCGTGACTCAAGTCGGGTTCAGATTAATTGGGGCGAAGCCACGAATATCAGACGAGAAACCGAAAAAAAAAAAACTTATACAATCTTGTTCTTGGTTCTTTCAACTGTTCATTTTTTTTTTTTTTACTTAGGCTAAACATTTTTCCCCCTCTTGTTTAAAATTGTTAATAACAAGAGCTTTTCTTGGTATAATTTTCTTGGGAAAATTAAGACCCAACTGTGACTAAGATCTAGAATTTAATTTGCAAAGTATACAAGACAAAAATTGAAACTTGGTCTAATATTCCATTCTTAGTTATGACAAGAGAAAGATAATTATTTTCTATGAATCTTTTACTATTTACGTAAATGATCTCTTTTTAAGTGTATTGGAGTGTGTCAAAGAAATTTATCTAGTGCCCACATATTATTCTAATGTAAATGTTTATCAATAATAAAATTCTTATATAAGAGTAGTGGCAAGACTAAATTGTCGGCATAGACCTACCATAAATTCTAAAAATAAAAAAAATAAAGAGACCTAAGTAAAGATTCTAGAAAAAATAATATTAAAAACTGACTGCCCAAAAAAAAATGTTAATAGACTCTACCCGTAATCCTTTTATAAGGAATAAAAAAAAAAAGGCTAAAACTTAAGTTCTGAAAAATAAAGGCCCTACACTAGTTCCGCCACTACATAGGAGTATGAGAAGCTAACAAGATCAACCCCAATGAAGAAGACATCCCCGAAGCACAAAAACTTCTTTGTTTATGGGTTTAAATAGTTACCCCACCAATAATTTAATAGTGTTACTGTTGGGATTATTGCCTTGAATTCAAAGAAGGAGAGAATTGAAGTTCCCAAAAAAAAAAAAAAAAAAAAAACGCAGTGGCTGTGAATGTTCCAACACATTGGAAAGGGTGTCGGTACCTTCTGCTAGAAAATCACAATCATGCAGCAAGCCTGCATTTAATTGTGTGGAGAATTCTTTCCCTTTTTGTTTTAATTTCTTTGGCCTCAATTTAGAGTGTAATTAGAATTTTTATCTAACCCAAATTCTAATATTTTTAACCTAACATAAAAATGTATTATTAACAAAATTAAAATTATGAGAAATACCAAGAGATATTTGGATTAATTCCAGAGTTAACAGGGTGATAAGAGAGAGTACCTCTAATCCCTTTGGATGCTGAGATGTTGAAATTTCTCTATTCAATTAGAGTATGGAGAAAACCTTTTAAGCCATGAGTGGTTTAGAAGAGTTTTTAGACATGTGAGAAAAGATACAAAAATTAAGGGAAGGTTCTCAGGAGATTATGAGTTTTGAAATTTAGTTTTTTTTTTTTTTTTTTTTTTTTTTTTT